GTCATCTACATACCGGATCCATACTTTTGGTTGTATGCGTGGAAGTGCTATAGCTTCTAGGCATTGCATTACAATCTCTGCTATGAGTCCTGACAGTGATGATCCCATGGGTGTGCCATCAAACTGAAAATCGGTAGTGATGCAGAGGTTGATGAGGTCCATGATTCTGGGTATTTCAATCTGGGTGTATTTGGTTAGGTCGGGTGTGTTGTGTAGTACTGCTGATATGGATTCTTTCGCTAGTTCTGGGTTTATGGATGTAAAGAGTGCTGTGACATCAAATGAGACCATAATTTCATCTTCACTTTTGTGTACATCTTTGATTTTCTGGAGGCACTGTAGTGAGGAGTTAATAGAATATTCACTCCTCTCTGTGAGATGTCCAAGCTTTTTTGTCAGTTCTTTTGCTATGTTGTATGTTGGAGTCCCTGGTAAAGATACAATTGGTCGAAGAGGTATGTCAGGCTTGTGTATATTTGGTCGACCATAGAAACGTGGGAGGATGGGTCCACTGCTTTTCATCTGCCACTGTTCTTCTTTTGTGATATGGCGTTTCCTGGTTAGGTTGTTAATGGTTCTCTTGATTAGGTTTCTAGTTTCTGTATTGGGTTGGTGTTAACTGGGATGTAGGTTTCTTTGTCCTCTAATTTTTGCTTTGTGCAAGCATTGTGATTTATCCATAGTATCTGTGGTTCTATGATCACAGTTATTATTTATCCATAATAACTGTGGTTCGGCCTTTGTCTGCTGGGAGGATGATGATGGTTTGGTCCTTCCTTAGGCTTTTGAGGGCTGCCCAGTCCTCTGCTTTGAGTTGGTGCTCATACTGTGTTCTTCTGATCTGTGGTATGATTGTCTGCCTTATGTTTTCTTGGGTCTCTGTGTTAAGTCCTCACCAGCAATCATCACCCAGATAAGCAGAGATTAACACCAAGATTATCACCAGACATACAACCAAGCAGTAAACTAATAAAGGAACTCCCAGAGGGGGAAAAAAAAAAAAAAACAAAACAAAGCCCACCCCCCCCCCAACCCTGGCAGGGCATGCCACTGTA